TGCGTTCTCGATCTGGCGTTCTTGAGAATTGGAACGGTACTGGGGCTGAGGCTGATGACGTGTCACGAGTACACGAGCACACGAGAACACTCAAGAATGCATATTGAGAAATGCCCAATAGTTTTGCCAACTCTGAAAGTTCAACTGGATCAAAGCAGTTTAAACCCGCCTCAGATTCTATGGCTACCTCAGATGCAGCCTCACCTTCCAGAGAAACCAATCGTAGTTAGAGGAGTGCTAATGATCTTATTTTTAATAAGATCAATCTTATTTATAAAGAATCCTGTGAAATCATTACTGCTAAGAGCAGGTGGGATGGACGGTTCAGTTATTTTCAGAGCAGGCTGCACAGGAATATTCCGTCAGCCTTGAGTCTTTTCTTGCTAGCCCTATGTGGGGAATCCAATATTCCAGATTTGTTGGGTTTTTCCACCTTGAAGCAAGCGTGCACATCCAAGATATTATCCCATCTCACCACAACCACCGCAGTCAGCCTGCATTCAATCGCACCCAGCATACAGCTCAGCTCCCGATCTTGCTCGTTCACAGCCTTTCTGAGCATGTCAACCGCTGCCGGTAGCCTGATCAATGCCCAAATTGCTGCAGACATCCTCTGTAATTGTAGATGAATCAGGTATCCTCCAAATCCAAACAGGAGAAATCCAAGTATCATAAATCTGAAAATCCATACATCTTTGATATATTTCACTGACAGCATTGTTAAACACACCATCCTCCAATCCTTCCAGGAGTCCTTGGTGTATCCCACGCAGTATGTCCCAGCAGGACAGGAGGGGTCCCCTTTTCCCTGTCTTCCAGTTGAGAAAACTTTATCAATTGCATTGAGAGACCAGCTGACCCAGATCCATTGTTTAAGTTCAGTTGATATGAAGAGAGGGCTTAGGAAAGACAAGACACAGCAAAGCACAAGCGACATGTGGACGGTTAGGCAAACTCCCATGAGCCCTCAAGCATCCTGCAGAGTGTTGTACAGCTAGTCCAGTATTCCAAAGCTGGAACAAAGCCGACCCTGCTGACTTAACCCCTCTCCAGTACCCTGGCATATGCCTTCCAGTGGACACTGAGAAGTGTAATTCATGTAGTTTAAAGTCCCCAAACAACATGCATTTTGGGGATGTCTGTCAGCCACAACAACCAAACAACATCATGAGACCTAAGGTACGCATGGGGGATCTCATTAAAACCCTAAATCCTTCAGAGTTTTTTTTTTTCTTACTTCAACTTGGGTGATGAACAAGTCTGGCTCTCAACCCCCACTCTCCGCTTCCGCCAGGGGCATTTGAGGAGATCCTCAAACTATTCCTTCTACTGTCTGACAAAGTCCTCAGTTACATTCAGCATCTCCTCGTTCTAACTTAAAACAGTTTTAGCATAGCGCTGCTTATCCATCTGGAAGTGCAGAGTAGTTTGCCAGAATCGCTTTGAGGCCGACTTACAGTCTTTCTCCATGGTCTCTCAAAACTCCTCCTAGGCACAAGGTTTTGCTCCTTGAACCACCCAGCAGTGACAAGCTTGTCATCAAGGAACCTGCTTGCTGCCTCAGAAGTCCTACAAGCCAAACAGACTCAATAGGACTACCTTCAGCTTGACAACATCCCCTACTGCCAGTCCACCACCAGGTTCGGGGGTTGCTGCTAAGACAGGCACAGCAGAGCTTACTGCCAGAGTTATAGGAAGCAACTTTGACAACAGAGACAGAGAACATGGTCCACTCTGACTCCCTGTTCCTAACCACCCAGAGAACCGGAGAGAAGCTCTCTCCGAGTTGGGGAAAATTATATATGCTATGAAAAATCAATGTAAAGCATAATAATTGACAATTATTTTACTGTGGGGATGGTTCTCTTTAGCAGAACCATAGAAGTTAGTCAGAGTTGATGGAAAGATGAAGATACAGGGTCATCCTGCAAGAATACTTGGTTAAACCAGCAACATAATTAAGGCTAATGGAGATGCCCATCTTCAACTAGGACTGTGACTTTAAACATATAAGGCAGATTTGCAGTTTCTTTAGATCAAAGCTTATTCATCTATTAGAAAGCTCAAGTCAAAGATAAGACAAAAAACAAACTGAGAATCTGCAGCAAGGCAAGTAAGCTGAGTTTACAAATGCTGGATGTGATTAATTCCGCAAGGTGATGTTATTATACTTTATGCAAATTTTTATGGTTATTCCTATGTCTATTCTGCACAGGTCTGTTCTAATTATATATTTTTTTACGTGCTTTGTATGACTATGCTTTGGTCTCTCAGGTTTTATTTTGTTTATATTACCATTTCTACCAGCATGCCTTTATCTCTCTCTTTCATAGTGCATCATATATTCATAATTTAAATTTCCTTCTGATAAAAAGATAAAAAATAGATCACAGAGAAAATGGAGTAATTGAAGAAGAAAGCTGATAGAAGAGCATTAATAAAGAATAAAAAAGACAGAAATGGATAACAGTGTTTGTGGGGGCTCTTTGTAACCTTTAGATCTTTTTCTACTTCAAAATAATTTCCTCATATGACACGTGTCACCAAAAATATCATTTTATTTTTCATGCTACAGTCTGGCTCTCTTGTCAAGTATAAAAGGTCCGCTAGAACAGAAAACATCTTTGTTTTATTTTATGTCGCAAACTTCAAACCACACTATATATAAGGATAACTTTAATTTTAGAAGAAGAAAAAAAAACAAGAACAATGTTTTACAATTGAGGAAGCAAAGTCAAGGTATAAAAACTTTAAAAGGTCCCCATTCGTAATTCTCTGGGTCATTACTTTCAATCTGAAAGATTTATTTTTAACAGCCACTCTGTCTCGCTGATGATGATCAGATAAAATGGTGCTGAGATGACAGAAATGAAGGGCAGACATCAGCCTCACCTCCTGGTTGCATTCAGAAGCCATTTGTGAGAGCAGCGAGGAAAAGAAGCTGAAGTTCTGGAGTAGAACACGACCCATGATGCCAAGGTATGTGGACATCACCACTGGATAACGCTGTAAAAACATATGGACATGATCAGATAGAGCATTTAGTAATGCTTTAAAGGCACACTATGCAACATTTTTCAGTTAATTAATGTGTTCCATAACGTT